CCATTATTTGGCTATTTATTTACATTAATGTGTATGTTGCCGTTTATTGTGCACCCACTGAACAACTGTCCAGCATCAGTAGCATGGCTTACGTGGTTACTTGTATAGGCTGAGGTTGTTCTAGGCTGTTGCTTGGCATGGCGAGAATATTGCTCCACTTTCTCCGGTCCCCGAGATTCGGCTTCCAGTAGCTCTGGAGAGAGCTTTCGCACCTGTGGCCACTAACGGTCATAATTTCTCTGCTTTGTTTCAAGACCCGCATCAGAAAGCTTTTGAATGGTGATACTTTTCCAGTTGGTCTACTACCTGCTCTTCACGTAGCTCTGCATGGCGTCGTTTAGGTGCTTTCTGGAGATAGGCACTCCTCAATCCACTCCTCCATAGTAAGACCACCCCGGGGGTCAAAGTTAACCTTAAATGTTTCCATCTTAAGCTTTGTTAGTTAGTTAGTTTCGTAACGGACGTAATGTAACGGTTGTAGCTTTTTCTCAGACGCGGAGGGATACTGACTTGTTGTGAAAATAACTACAATTCTACCCGTGATATACGCTCATTGTCCGTTTTATAAATGTAAATGGATATGATATGTGACGTATGAGAATTAGAAACCAAATGCATATCTTTGAGGAAAGCTGGGAAAAATGGGTGAAGTATAGAACACTATAATGAAGGTAATTAAAGGTGGGGGAGGTAATTTTGGAGAAACCGGCTCGAGTGCGCTAAAACTTGAAAATACACAGCCGGAAAAATCTGCCACTTCCTTACAGAGCCCCTCCTCCAACACACACGAACGTGCACATGACCAATGAGGGCACGAGATAAGTTTGTGCACAGATGGAAGGCTGACAGGCAGGTAGGCCATCCAGTTATTTTAGCCGGGCCGGCTCAGATGATTGGTCGTGCTTTTTACAGTACTACGGCTTCCACAGATGATATTTTTTATGGATTTATTGTCAAAGCACTTCAGATATTCATTGCTATCGGGATGTTAAGAGCATTCCATGAAATATAACAAAAAGTGTATCTCGAGCCGGTTTCTCAAACTTACCTACCCCACCTTTAATGTATACTGGAGTGTTAATAATGTATCCATTCTTTTATTTGTAATATTATTAATACTATTATTTATTTTCGGATTTGTCAACTGTTATGTAGTTAATCTATGTACCTAGATGTGTTTATTTTGATATGTATGCTTTGTGAGTATTTTCTTAAAGGTCCCATGTCATGGCCATTTCTACTGATCATAATTCCATTGTTGAGGTCTACTAAAATAAACACAAGGGGACAGGTAATAACCAGAAAAGCATGACATGGGACCTTTAAAATGCAAATCAAAAAAAGAATATGATATGTACAAGAACAGAATATGAAAATGAAATAAGACAACACAGCGTAGAGCTCTGACCTGGTAGGTGAACTTGGCTTGTTGCAGCTCCTCAGAGTCTTTGGGAGTCCTCAGGTCCTCCAGACTTTTGGCTAAAGTGATGTGTTGGATGTCGGGCTCGTCCTGGCAGCCGAAGATATCTCCCAGCAGGGTGACGTTGGAGAACTTCTCATTAACTGGGCTGGGGGGGGGCGGTGTGACTCTCTGCTCCTTCTAACAACTCGGCCTCCTTCAGGGAGCGGTACGGCTGAGGCCTGCAGGGCAGAGAGAGGGCAAAAGCACACACATCCTTTACTCAAGTAGAAGCACAGATACTCGTGTTTAAAAATACTCTGGTGAAAGTAGAAGTACGGACTAAACTTCTTTACTCAAGTAAAAGTAAAGAGGGCTTTGAAATGTACTTCAGTAAAAAGTACCCATAACTACCTTCACTTATGGTTAGTTATTTCTATAAAAAGGTATCTTCTTTAACTGTATTTATGTATGCACTACTGTATGTACACCAAGGCAAATTCCTCGTATGCTTTAAAGGTCCCCTATTATACTGTTTTTCATCAATATAGTACAGGTCTCAGATATATACAGAGCCTGTCTCAACCCCTCTGAGAGAGATTTGGTTACAAAGAACACAATGGTGCTCTAGGAGGAGATTCAGGTGATAAGGTGGGGGGGGGGGGGGTTACCTTGGTTGCTGATTGGCTAATGGTTACACAAGACAAAACATCGTTATGACATCATAAAGTGGCCAAAATCTGATCAGCTCATTTTCAGACAGGTTTTTATAGAAATGGATCAGGACAAAAAGAGAGAGAATCTTTGTTCCTGAAACTTTCAGAGTCTCTTTACACAACGGGGACACATGTTGATGAAGAAGAGACATGAAGAAGAGGGGACACATGTTGATGTAGAAGAGACATGAAGAAGAGGGGACACATGTTGATGTAGAAGAGACATGAAGAAGAGGGGACACATGTTGATGTAGAAGAGACATGAAGAAGAGGGGACACATGTTGATGAAGAAGAGACATGAAGAAGAGGGGACACATGTTGATGTAGAAGAGACATGAAGAAGAGGGGACACATGTTGATGAAGAAGAGACATGAAGAAGAGGGGACACATGTTGATGTAGAAGAGACATGAAGAAGAGGGGACACATGTTGATGTAGAAGAGACATGAAGAAGAGGGGGACACATGTTGATGAAGAAGAGACATGAAGAAGAGGGGACACATGTTGATGTAGAAGAGACATGAGGAAGAGGGGACACATGTTGATGTAGAAGAGACATGAGGAAGAGGGGACACATGTTGATGTAGAAGAGACATGAAGAAGAGGGGACACATGTTGATGTAGAAGAGACATGAAGAAGAGGGGACACATGTTGATGTAGAAGAGACATGAAGAAGAGGGGACACATGTTGATGTAGAAGAGACATGAAGAAGAGGGGACACATGTTGATGAAGAAGAGACATGAAGAAGAGGGGACACATGTTGATGTAGAAGAGACATGAAGAAGAGGGGACACATGTTGATGTAGAAGAGACATGAAGAAGAGGGGACACATGTTGATGTAGAAGAGACATGGAAAAGCTAATTTTGCATAATAGGTGACCTTTAAAACACGTATCATTGATTAGAAAGAGAGAAAGAGAGAAAAGACTTATTAATGAGTGAATAGTGCAAAGAGAGAGAGAGAGCTGCGTACAGAGGCGACCACTCGAAAGGGACGGAGAAGAGAAAGCTGTCAGGAAAGCCAGAGATGGAGTCTTCGTCGTACTGGAGCTCGTCTCCGGACGAATCCTCGGAGAGAAAGACTGTGTAGTGACGGGTAGGACGGAGAGAGCTACGTAAAGAGAAGCACATTCACAGCTCATTACATGCTTATTTATAAACTCCATTATTAAGTGTCAGAGGCAAGAAGAAGGAAAATTAAAAGTTGGACGGTTTGAGGATTAGAATCAATTTTCATTTTCACAAAAGGATCAAGATTTAAAATGTTACTGTTCAATCATTAAGAAAAAGAATGGGAAAACAAATCAATGGAGAGAAATGTGATTGATTACTGATCATCTCTACAGTATGTGACTGTATCTGCGAATGGATTATGTCTCCAAGTTCGTTCACTGGCATGAAGCGACTCAATTATTATTACATGTCACTTGTTAGACGCTTTTATCCAAAGAGACTTACATACTCAATACTGTGGTCAATCCCCACAGGAGCACTTTGGGGTGAAGTGTCTCAGACGACATGCTGACTGCAGTGGGGTTTGAACCTGACCCCCTGATCCGAATACATACGCACAACCCACTGCGCCACACACCTCACCTCAAATTCTTTACTTACAAAATGGCCACAATTATGCAAAAAATCGACTATAGTGAGCACTATTTGGGATTAAAATGGTGTTACATGTGTAGTACTGTGGGATAGTGTGTATAAAGTGAGAGAAGGCTTACTGGTCCCCGCCGCTCTCCAGACTCACGTTGCTGCTCGGCCTCTTCAACATCATCGTTGGCCGAGCCTGTGGGAGTGGAACCTTATTTATTTTTGGAAAAGGGATCATAAGTTATTACGTAGTAGACCTACCTCCTCCTCAGAGACACTCACAGGAGTGGACCATTGTTCTATGTATGGTTGACTTACTGAAATAAAAGAAAAACACGACAGAGACGACATTCTTGCCTGGATTTTAAATATATGTACCTGCGTAAGATTCACACACTGGTGCCTCAGCACCAGTTTTAGAGTAAGTTAGATTGTATATGTTATTTCGCGTTCTGACATCTTGTAGATTGTTGCTTTTAAATTGTCTATTGTTTTTACTTGTACTTATTTTATGGTGTGTGAGCTGAGCTGTGTGATTTTTGTATGTTTTGTTTGTGTATTTGACTGTACAGCACTTTTGTCTGGAGGTTTTAAAATGATTTTTTAATAAAGCTGTATTGTATTGTATTTCTTTAGTTAGCTGCGACACTGCTTTCATGAATTGCAGCTCGGTGAAGTTCCTTATAAACTCTTTCTCCCCACCTCCACACCTCTTTTGTTCTCACCTGCCCAAAATGCACCGTGATTGGCTTCTGGTCGTCCAGTGAGCTCATCGGCCCCTCCCTCTTGACTGCCGGGCTCTCGTCATCGATCACCACTGACCCCACTGTGGAGAAGCCGTTCTCTGCCTGCTCCTGAGAGAGGGGGGGGGGGGGGACACAGAGACGTTTAAAACACCACTACAGGTGGAGGAGGGAGGAGGCTTACTGGGGTCAGTTAAGGTAAGTCAGGGCAGTGTTTATGTCTTAAAGGTCCCCTATTATACTGTTTTTCATCAATATATCACAGGTCTCAGATATATACAGAGCCTGTCTCTGATTGGCTGAAACACCAAACAGATCATTGCAGCATTACCCATAATCCCCTCTGTTTCAGCCCTGTTTCCAAAGTGCTGATTCTCTGTCTGTTACTTTAGATGAAAATAAGGAGCCCCTCCCCTAGGGGTTTTTAAATCCTCACTAAAGACTCACTTCTTCTCTCTGGCCTTGTAGTCAGAGCGGAGCACGACTCCTGACATTTCCCTGTGTTTTGTTTTTATATTTGCTGTTGTAAATTATTGTCTTCTGTTTGCTATTGTAGTAAAGTGTTTTTTTATTACATGTACAGCACTTTGGCTCGACCAAAAATCGATGACTACTAGAGATTATTACTTAAACCTATTACTTAAAGTAGTTATTCAGCGGTGAGAGACTCATACCTTCTGCTTCAGCCTGCTCTTCACCTCCTTTATACGCATTTTGGCGTGGTCCTTCGCCTGTGGAAAACAAACAGAGACAAACAGGTGATGGTCGTTCTGATTCCTCACTAACAGATCATACTGCAACCGAGGACAGAAGAGACGTGCTTACAAACTTATAAACGGTCTTCATGGCAGGGTTGGCCCTCGTCTTCACTGTGTTGAAGATAGCTCCGCCTCCTTTCTGTCAGGAAACACACGCACACACAAAAAATGTTTGTAACACACTTAGACACAAATCTGTGACACACACATTTTCAAACCATACATGCAAAAGTTAACAGATAAATGACGCAAGCACATTTTTGTAAAACACACACACACACACACACACACACACACACACACACACACACACACACACACACACACACACACACACACACACACACACACACACACACACACACACACACACACACACACACACACACACACACACACACACACACACACACACACACACACACACACACACACACACACACACACACACACACACACACACACACACACACACACACACACACACACACACACACACACACACACACACACACACACACACACACACTGTTATGTGCTGATGGTGGTGCATTGAGACTCACCTTCACAGTGAACAGCCACTGGTGGTAGGTCTTGTCACTTCCTGTGGAGGGGGGGTCAATAAAAAGTCAAAAACAAGTAGAAGTGCCGTCTGCAATGTGATGTAACACCAACCAAATAATATATATAAAAATATAATAATACATTTTATTTATCAGGTGCTCAAAGACACTTTCCAGAGGTAAAAAAAATGGCAATAAAACCACATTTATCACAAGGACACGGCATCGATCACACATTAAAAAGCTAGTCTAAAAAGGTGAGTTTTGGTCAGTGTTTTGAAGGAGGGGGGGGGGGGGGTCAGTGCAGTCTCTGATTCGTTGTGGTAGTGAGTTCTAGATGGTGGGGACACGATGGAGAAGGCTCGGTTCGTATCTGATCATATCTGAGCAGATCTATAATGTAACGTACTCTACTGCAGTATGACAAACATCAAGCTCTGATTACATGGCTGCTGGGATCAGCTGATGTGTCAGTGTGTGTGTCTGTAGTTATAACAATATTATATCAAATTAAAAGCTGAGTGGACGTCCTAAAGTGTGAAAATTGATATATCTGTAGTGCTGGGTGAGCTCCAATATAAACATGAGGACACAGTTAGCCTGCTGAGGTAGCATCAGTTTGATGATCTGTGCTGATCTGGAGTCAGCCTTGTGACATGAGAATGAACATCAGGAGAGACTTTGGACCTGTATTTACTGTCGCCATGTGTCTTCACTGTGTGACTTCTTTGCTTCCATGTCAATGAACCTGTTAGATAAGACACACACACACACACACACACACACACACACACACACACTACTCACTCACCTGCGTATTCACCCAGGCTGATTTCCTCCTCAAAGATGTCACTGAAACCTTCTCCTGAGTTCAGCAGGTCCAACCGGCCGTCAATAAACTGCCCGTAAAACCAGACAATGTATAAGAGCAGAAGAGGAAGGAGGAAATACAGGTGTGTGTGTGTGTGTTTTATTCCTATACACATGGACATACATTTTGCTAAATGTAGCTCTGGGGAAGGAACATTTTGAAAATGATCTCCATGTGCGTAAAAATCCACTTCAATTATTAGCTATCACGACTTAAAGGGATGAAAATGGACTTATATATTTACTCAAGTTAGGACTTAGATATACAATGTGTGTGTGTGTGTGTGTGTGTGTGTGTGTGTGTGTGTACAGTACAGTTCTTTATAAAGCTGGCTACACACCAACCGATTTTGGGAGTCAGAGGCCGTCAGAGGCAGTCGGGCATTCGCGGCGCCCTACTCAGGTTGGTGTGTCCCGCACCGTCGTCTCTTTACGGCACCTTTTCACACCTCCCACGGCCGATTCAACATGTTGAATCGGCCGTGGGAGGTCAGAGAGAGTCGGCCCAAGCAATCACTCTGATTGGCTGTTCACACTACCGCTGCCTGCTGGTAAGGACAGTTATTGCCACTCATTGACTGAAGTATTTGCGGTGTGTTCGTAGGCGGGCGGCGTAGCGGGTGGCGTAGCTGACGTAAAAGTCGGGACGCCTTTGGTACGCGTTCTTTGGTCTCAGGTGGGTGTGTAGCGGCCTTTAGGCTCAATGAACTGAACCAGCTCAACTGTACTATCAGTGACTGTTTATCAGTTGGATGTAGTGTGTGTGTGTGTGTGTGTGTGTGTGTGTGTGTGTGTGTGTGTGTGTGTGTGTGTGTGTGTGTGTGTGTGTGTGTGTGTGTACCTGTTTGAAGAGCTGCAGCTGGATGGCATTCTGCAGGAACTGTCTCATGGCACTGGAACGATGGCTCACAAAGGTTTCCTCGTTAAATGTTATTTGCTCTTCCTAAAGATGCAGGGAAACACAGGAGCTGTCTCAGCACTGTTCACCGCACACACCGACACATTCAGCATCTTATATATCATTACATCAGGGGTGAGCTAGGAAGTGAGTAGACGGAGACAGTCAGAGAACATGTGTTATCATGTGTTGTTTCTTTGTGCATGACTCTTCTATTGATCATTCGAGTCCTACATCAGTCAAGAGGAACATATGTTGTGTAATCCAGAAGTGCATTTAGCTCGTACACTGTTCCATAATAAAGGAAATCCAAGTGAAATCCATTGTATTGATTGTATATAATGTGTGTTGAATACCCGTAAACAGATTCTATGCACTGCGCAGCATACAGTGTTCTCGCTCAGATGTTTTTTATCACCTACTGAACACATAAAAGCAAAAACAGAGTTTGCTCTGCTGTAACTGTTCAGCAACATTACCAACAGCCCCACCTAGTGTCAGCAGAAGGTAATGAACATAATAATTCCAAAAATATGCAAAGAAAATACATGTTAAAATATATTTTAAGATCATGTTTAGTCGTCTGATTCGTCTGTACATTGCTGTTTCAGTCTGCGTTCTTCTAATTAGTGTCCACAGTGTGTCTATTGAGCCATGTTGAGCGATGTGGGGCAAGCCCCTCTCTCTCACTGTCTAAGTGAATGGGTCCTGTAAAAACTACACTGCGCATGCTCAGAGTATTTTTCTATTCAATGTGTGCGGCAAAAAAATAATCACCATAGGGGCAAAGTGCTGGCAACCCCACCAAACGTCATCTCATAATTCAGAGAGCTGATTGGCTGTAAGTAGGTGTGCCGCGTTGACGTTGAAGTTGACCATCTACTTCAGCGATGGGTGTCTGTGTTTTCCGTATACCCCCCCCCCCCTCTCTCTCTATCGGAACCATGGATAGCCTAGAGCTATTTGTTTACGTGTTTAAAAATGCACCAGAAGCTTATATATACACACATCTAAGTTGTTCGTGCGCCACCACTTTTGTACATATAAAAACGCCACTGGTAATAACGACAGGTTAAGCCAGCCGATCTGTTTGCTCTCTAAACACTTCCCAAGAGAGAGAACTTCATATGATTCTGGCCCAGAGGTTCAGGTACACACTGGACTATAACCTGGGCCGGACCACGAGCACAACGGCAATCTAGCCAGGTCAAACCCATAGGCTGGTTAAACTGCAGCATCCTTGGGGACATTGAAACTCTTGTTTTGTCTCAATATGCGAACTTCTGCCATACTTGACCACCCAAGGTGACTTACAACTATACTGATTGACTCAAAAAGAAGCCACCGTTAATTCTTATAGGGTTAATTTGGCCGTCTCTAAAGATAACGTTGCTAATATAGCTAGCTGGCTAACAGTGGCAAACGTCACTTTCTGTGAGAGCTCAGCAGCCGTGTGTGATTCAAGACAACTAGTTGAAATTCACACACTTTGTTCACACTGTACGACTATGGGAAGTCTTCGAATTAAGAGAGACATTTTTATGTTTAGTTTAACCTTGCTAACCCACTCTCTTTGTAGTACAGTCTTGTCTGGTGGAAATGTATTTAAAGCATATGCGCATACACCACGTGAAGCTGGTAAATGATCATACCCAGAGTCACATGACAGGCTTAGGTATATCGTTCTCTTTGTATGCATCCTTTACGTTTATGTATGGTGTGCAGTTCACTGACCGGCTGGATGTGCAGGGCGTCTCTGTAGCTCCCGAACAGAGCCGCCTGACTCCTGAGGAACGCTCGAGCCACGCCGTCACCTGTGGTCGTTGAGACCTTCCTCAACCGGCTCTTTAAAGATGACACCTGTACGACAAGAAGTCACAGCAGTCATTATCAGTGAATACTTGCATCCATATTTAAAAAACGGCACTGAAGGATTCAAGGCTTTTATTGTCATGTGTACATAGCTACAGTGTAGATATGTCAATGGAAATCTGAGGTCACAGGCTCCTCCAAGAGTGCAACACAATAAAACTGATAAAACAGTGCAAGTTCCTCCCTACTCACCACATCATTGGGCAGGCTTTGGAGGTCATCGTAGGGGGTTTCCAGGGTGTTTGTGTCCACGTTCAGGATCACCACATCATCCAGAGCCAGCCCTCGGACTTTCTACCAGCAACACAAACACAGCCAGCTTCAGAAACAAAGACACTGAAGGGTAAAAAGTGAGTAACTGCGTTTAAATGTTAAAGGTCCCCTATTATACTGTTTATCATCAATATTATCACAGGTCTCAGATATATCCAGAGCCTGTCTCTGATTGGCTGAAACACCAAACAGATCATTGCAGCATCCCATAATCCCCTCTGTTTCAGCCCTGTTTCCAAAGTGCTGATTCTCTGTCTGTTACTTTAGATGAAAATAAGGAGCCCCTCCCCACGCCCCTCTGAGAGAGATTTGGTTACAAAGAACTCAATGGTGCTCTAGGAGGAGATTCAGGTGATAAGGTGAGGGGGGGGGGGTACCTTGGTTGGTGATTGGCTAATGGTTACACAAGACAAAACATCGTTATGACATCATAAAGTGGCCAAAATCTGATCAGCTCATTTTCAGACAGGTTTTTATAAAAATGGATCAGGACAAAAAGAGAGAGAATCTTTGTTCCTGAAACTTTCAGAGTCTCTTTCCACAGAGGGGACACATGTTGATGAAGAAGAGACATGAAGAAGAGGGGACACATGTTGATGTAGAAGAGACATGAAGAAGAGGGGGGACATGTTGATGTAGAAGAGACATGAAGAAGAGGGGACACATGTTGATGTAGAAGAGACATGAAGAAGAGGGGACACATGTTGATGTAGAAGAGACATGAAGAAGAGGGGACACATGCTGATGTAGAAGAGACATGAAGAAGAGGGGACACATGCTGATGTAGAAGAGACATGAAGAAGAGGGGACACATGTTGATGTAGAAGAGACATGAAGAAGAGGGGACACGTGTTGATGTAGAAGAGACATGAAGAAGAGGGGACACATGTTGATGTAGAAGAGACATGAAGAAGAGGGGACACATGTTGATGTAGAAGAGACATGAAGAAGAGGAGACACATGTTGATGTAGAAGAGACATGAAGAAGAGGGGGACACATGTTGATGTAGAAGAGACATGAAGAAGAGGGGACACATGTTGATGTAGAAGAGACATGAAGAAGAGGGGACACATGTTGATGTAGAAGAGACATGAAGAAGAGGGGACACATGTTGATGTAGAAGAGACATGAAGAAGAGGGGACACATGTTGATGTAGAAGAGACATGAAGAAGAGGGGACACATGTTGATGTAGAAGAGACATGAAGAAGAGGGGACACATGTTGATGTAGAAGAGACATGAAGAAGAGGGGACACATGTTGATGTAGAAGAGACATGAAGAAGAGGGGACACATGTTGATGTAGAAGAGACATGAAGAAGAGGGGACACATGTTGATGTAGAAGAGACATGAAGAAGAGGGGACACATGTTGATGTAGAAGAGACATGAAGAAGAGGGGACACATGTTGATGTAGAAGAGACATGAACAAGTGGATTTTGTATAATAGGTGACCTTTAAAGAGCTTATACCACCTACCTCCATCAGGCTGGAATGGACTCCGATGAGGTAGGGCATTGGGGCACTGAAAAAAAACACACTTAGTCATGAGAGAATAGCTGTGTTATCGAGCACAGAAAGCGTTCTACTACGCATGTATAGCTTAGCGACTCAAATCTTAAATCCTGTTCAAGTTTGTTTTTATCTCCCTCAGATCTCCTGGATCTTTTTACTAAATACAAACGTAAAACTGCAGGTCCGGGACTTAATGCAGGCTTAAATTACACCGACAAACGACCATGGAGGTGTTTGTTACGTTGGTTTACATATTTTTGTTTGCTATGCAATGTTATCGACGGATCATGGACCTCTAACATTGATATAGTATTACTAAATTCATTAGAAGATATTCACATGTTCATGCAGGGACGGTGCAACCTGACAAATCTCAATATAATTTGTCAGTAACATGGTATGTTTCACATGTAATGCAACATATAATGCTATTAAATACCTGTATAGTGTCCTAAGTGTGGATGTATTATGGAAAACCGCATTGATTACTAAATATATATTATAACATAGCAACCTTTCAGTATTTTACAGCGGTATACTATACTAATAGGGAGGCGTGTGGTGCAGTGGGTTGTGCGTTGGTGTTCGGAACAGGGCGTCACAGGTTCAAACCCCACTGCAGTCAGCATGTCGTTGTGTCCCTGGGCAAGACACTTCACCCCAAATTGCTCCCGTATTGAGTATGTAAGTCGCTTTGGATGAAAGCGTCTAACAAGTGACATGTAATGTAATAATTCCAAATGATATGATAAAATACAAATAATGTGAACAGCATGTACTAAAAAGCAAATTGAAACACAGAAAGGTGCTGTGCTTCGAGAAAATAACACATATAACACACACAAGGGAAAATAAAACCAAAGAAAATCTGCTTCTCTCTGCAGTTGAAGTTAATAGAAGGTCACTAATAGTCAGATGGCAAAAGTACACACATCCTTTACTCAAGTAGAAGTACAGATACTCGTGTTTAAAAATACTCTGGTGAAAGTAGAAGTACTGACTAAACTTCTTTACTCAAGTAAAAGTAAAGAGGGCTTTGAAATGTACTTCAGTAAAAAGTACCCATAACTAGCAGCTGTTTTAAAGAGTACCTGACCTCCCTTTATATTAATAGAACAATAATGTCATTGTTAGCTAATGAATGTTTCCATGCTGAACAACGGCAACATGACAACGTTTTCATTGGTCCCTCTTCTTTAGAGAAGACCAGGAAATGATGGATACACGGATCGTGTTCAAATCAATAGGCACGCAATGACTCTAAATAATAATGATCACGCCACCAAACACACATTCAAACTAAAGGAACCAGCCTGTTTGGAAAATGTAAGAAGTAGAAAGTACAGGTATTTGTGTTCAACATGTAAGAAGTAGAAAGTACAGGTATTTGGGTTCAAAATGTAAGAAGTAGAAAGTACAGGTATTTGTGTTCAACATGTAAGAAGTAGAAAGTACAGGTATTTGTGTTCAACATGTAAGAAGTAGAAAGTACAGGTATTTGGGTTCAAAATGTAAGAAGTAGAAAGTACAGGTATTTGTGTTCAACATGTAAGAAGTAGAAAGTACAGGTATTTGTGTTCAACATGTAAGAAGTAGAAAGTACAGGTATTTGTGTTCAACATGTAAGAAGTAGAAAGTACAGGTATTTGTGTTCAACATGTAAGAAGTAGAAAGTACAGGTATTTGTGTTCAAAATGTAAGAAGTAGAAAGTTCAGGTATTTGAGTTCAACATGTAAGAAGTAGAAAGTACAGGTATTTGTGTTCAAAATGTAAGAAGTAGAAAGTACAGGTATTTGTGTTCAAAATGTAAGAAGTAGAAAGTACAGGTATTTGTGTTCAACATGTGAGAAGTAGAAAGTACAGGTATTTGTGTTCAAAATGTAAGAAGTAGAAAGTACAGGTATTTGTGTTCAACATGTAAGAAGTAGAAAGTACAGGTATTTGTGTTCAAAATGTAAGAAGTAGAAAGTACAGGTATTTGTGTTCAACATGTAAGAAGTAGAAAGTACAGGTATTTGTGTTCAAAATGTAAGAAGTAGAAAGTACAGGTATTTGTGTTCAAAATGTAAGAAGTAGAAAGTACAGGTATTTGTGTTCAACATGTAAGAAGTAGAAAGTACAGGTATTTGTGTTCAAAATGTAAGAAGTAGAAAGTTCAGGTATTTGGGTTCAAAATGTAAGAAGTAGAAAGTACAGGTATTTGTGTTCAAAATGTAAGAAGTCAAAGTAAAAAGTAGTGGAGTAAAGTACTGATACCAGAAACATGTACTTAAGTACAGTAACGAAGTATTTGTACTCCACTGCTTCCCACCTCTGCTAATAGCATACTCACCAGCAGTAGTCCAAGAGATGTGGCGGCAGGACAGGGATGTAAACATGCTGCCAGTGCATTGGAAACAACATGGCCGTCGACCCATGGACACACGCTGTTAACTGAGGACACACACATGTTATGGCAAACTCTACATGTGCTATCAAAATATGTACAAACAATAAAAATGCACCAGTTTCTATGCTAATGGTTAACTATGGAGATGTGTCAGGAGGGAAAAGTGCTCAATTAGAAACACGTAATATAAGTAGTTGACATTTGATTATATGTTTATGGGATGCCAGCATTAACTAAACACAAATAAGTGGAGCCTTAGGAGCTCCACTATACGAGGGTTCAAAAGGTCAGGAAGAATTAGCTCAAACACCTTCAGTAGCAACAACTCTCTCCATCAGCATGACATGTTTTAGAATAATTGTATATATTATTGAGAGATCACAGGATAGATTAGAGTAACACCTACGTCACTTCCTGGCAAAATTGCTGCCCCGCCCACTTTTAGGGGAAAACATTCGCTGCCATTTGAACGGCGGTAAATACCAGAGGTGTGGACTCGAGTCACATGACTTGGACTCGACTGAGACTCGAGTCACCAATTTGATGACTTTGGACTCGACTTGATAAAATCACAAAACACTTGCGACTCGACTTGAACACCAATGACTCGGGACTTGACTTGGACTTGAGCCTTCTGACTTGAGGTGACTTGATACTTTAATTCAGGGGTCTCCAACACGTCGATCGCGAGCTGTCGCTAGAAGAGCAGAGAGTTACTTTACCAGCAGAGAGAAAATGGATTATTAAATTATTAATGTGACTAATAAAGAGCAGTTTGATTATTAAACATTATTCTGTTGATGGATGTCATTACATTTGGTGAAAAGCACATAATGACTTGTTTAAGACTCGGTTTTTCAAAGTTTAGGACTTGGACTTGACTTGAACTTGAGCGCAAAGACTTGAGACTTGACTCGGACTTGAGCGCAAAGACTTGAGACTTAGTTGTGACTTGCAAAACAATGACTTGGTCCCACCTCTGGTAAATACAGATTCTGAAGTTTTCAACAATCACATAAAAAAATTAAGAAAACCGCGCTTTTTTGTAATCTACAAGAAGCCCAATTATGATGGTCGGACAGGCAAACTATAAAAAATGTTCACTGGAGATCGATGATCGGCGTCAATTTATAGTTTAATTTAAATCAATAGTGAAATGATGTCCTGCTGGAGGACGAATGGCAGGATCAATCTAACACTTAAACTGTGATTTATGAGTTAGATAGTTTCGTTTACTGTCGTTTTGTCTGTAGAGGAAGTAAAGAAACCGTAACTCGGGATATATGTGTTGTTGGAGGTGCAATATATGACTCAAGACAAAAAGAAACTACTATTTTTCACGTCGCTCTGATGCCTTGTTTTCCCCCTAAAGTGGGCGGGGCCTTCAATTCGCCAGGAAGTGACGTAACTCTGATCTATAGAGAGGCGAAGTCCCGCCCATCTACTTCCGACCCATGGGACCTTATTTCGGAAAAATGATGTATTGAAGTCAATGGGGAGAGAAAGATTATCTCTCGATCCCGTTTGAATTGTGCCACGAATTACACATATGATGTTTGTCAATCTTAAATAATAATTTCCATGTCAAAAAAGTCACAGTTTGTCGTAAAACTGTTGAAATATAAGACTATGAAAAATACGCAACTAGAAAGACTACAAATCCCAGAGTCCCGGTCCCGCATGCTGGCTCTTAGGAACTGACTAACTCCCCTTGTGTGTATGTACAGCTCTCAACATGCCCAGACTTGGAGTGATTTTCACCTCTTTTAATACTTTCCGCCTCATTCTGAAAGAAAGAAGTGAAATGTGCCAACGTGACGGCCGTCTTGGTGTGTGGTGCGAGACGGGAGATGTAGTTCATTGAGCGGTTTCACACAAACAAAAGTGTTACTTCACAGTTTTACGACACATTCTTATTTTTTTGACTTGCAAAATGATCTTTTAAATTGACAAACATCATGTGTGTAATTCGTGGCACAATTCAAACGGGATCCAAAGATAATCTTTCTCTCTCCATTGACTTCAACACATACTTTTTCCAAAATAAGGTCCCATGGAGGCCCCCCGGAAAGGGAGGGACTTCGCCTCTCTATAGTGAACTACAGATTGAAAGGAGACACGAACCAGGAAGTGGACTCTACTTACAGTGCTTAGTTTGCTACAGCAGATGAGGATTCGGCGTTCATAAAGCATACTAGCGTACAGATGAAGCATGTTATTGACATCTACTGCTACAAAGTACTCTGTTAGGTTTCTCTGCAGGGGTCAAGCACAACAAGAGAAAAAACAGGAGAGTTAGTGGTGAGGTAGAGACCAGTGGACCATGATTTAGTATGAAACCATATTTTAAGACATAAAACTGAGTGTCCTGGAAGCTTACATTACATACATATTACATCACAGTAGGGTCATTTACATCATTAACATTGACCCAATATACGCATATGTCCACCAATCAGAGCTTGAATACACCGTAATACATGTCAATAACAACTTTATAACCAGCTGCGAACGTTAACTAGCTCTCCTTCTGACAGTTTCGTCATGCATTTATTGTTTACAATGTGGCAATAACAGGAAAAATAGGCTCATAGTGAGTTAACTGATCAAGTGTAAGCGAACCCACGGTACCAACACTATCTGCAGTTCAGTGGAAAAACATGTTATGTCATGTTTTTCAAAATCTTGCAGGCTAAAATATCACGGGGACACTATGCTGCCAAACATTACACAATACAGTACAATGAAGTGTATACTATGTAGTACTCTACAACATACACTACTTACATACAGCCATAAAGTAGGTGTAACACTCAGCTGTTAAACACTAAGGCGTACACAACGTCTTACACTACAATACACTACTTAACTTAAAATACATCGGACACTAAGCTAGTATAAGGGTGTTCCCTACATAAACTATGCCATACGTACACTAAATACTCTACTACTACACCTTAAAGTACGTATACTACAGAAAACACTAACCCATAAACTACAGGTTCTGGTATCTATGTTGTGTTATCTTTACGCTACAATATTCCCATAATAATTGTAATCGTGAAACCCCTACTGGTTTGATTCCTACGCCCTTTGCACGCACGTCTTACTGATTATGTCGCTCCAAAACGCCGTTATAGTTTCTTATTTACCTGACCTGTAACTGCTCAAAGGTACAAATCAAAGTGTTTCTCCTCAGCACCATGGTTTGGGAGTTTACAGATAGATTTTTGAGCAGAGGGAAATGAGAAAACACTCACATTCTCAGGTATGCTGGGGAGTTCCCTCGCGTCAGGCACAGTGAAGAAGGAATGCTGGAAAAAACATAAAACAAGAGGGTATGATGAAGAGAAGAAGCAGCCAAGAGACAGTGAAATACATACGCTGTTAACTCTACTCCTGTGAAATTAACCATTCAGTTATACGGTAAGATATGGTAAAGTATTTTTCTAGTTTTAACTGAGGTCTCTAAGGTCGCAATCACACCTAATAGTCCGTTTTCAGGTGCGCACAAGATGACAGTTTGTACATCGGTTTGCGTTCACACGGGCAAAACTCAAACGGACTATAAACTTTAAACACAAGTCATGTGCTCGGAAATGCTGTTCAACCATTGGTCAGACATTAAGGGGGTAAAACCGCAAATCCCGGCAATTTCTACCGGAGCCTCCGCCATGGAGCATCGGCACTTTCGGCAGGTTATTCTCATGCTGCTGTTAATCTGGAGATCAACAGACTCTAGCGGCCCGCGCATATGATTATATAATCAGACAACGTCCGTTAAAAAACAATATAACACATAATGAGAGACGTTCTGCAGTCAGGAGGAGGTTTCACAGACGACAGGTGGCTCTGACTTTTATGTATAGTTGACGGAGCATTTTTACTGTTACGACACTGTTCAACACTTAATTCTGCTTCAGTCTTTAACTAAAGATTTTGAAGACATCCGCGTTCTTGTGACACGTAAATAGTACGCTTCCTGTGTTTTGGTGCGGACTGTGTTCACCCCAGCGATGAACCGCTCCAGAGTTCACTAGCAAGCGCTCCGAGACCACCTCTTTTAAGCGGACCAGAATCCGGTTGTTTAGTTCTCTTCAGAGGTCTCGGACTGCGTTCACACCAACCCAAACGGACCACACCAAGCGGCTAAACGCACCAGGGTTCGATTCAACCGGACTATACAAGGCTGGTGTGAATGCGATAATCTTTTAGGATTTTGATTCTTCTGATCTCTTTCCTTTGGGAGGAACTAAGATGGTTGCATTCTTGTGGTCAAAGCTAAAGGTTTGATGTGTTGAAGTCAGACTCACCACACCGAGATGAACAGGGACCCCAGGCTCTGGGATGGGGAGCGTATGTAGAGACACCAGGAACTCCTGCCATTGGCTCTCCTGAAACATCCAGAAAAGATTCAAAATGAAATGCAATGCCCATTTAAAAAGAACGAATAAGCTATCGCATAAAGAAAACTGGAACGTAACTCCAAATTAAAATGTTTTAGACGACAAACTGCACAGTACAATTGTGTGTACAGCTTGTTGTGTAGAAGTTAAACAAGAGACACCTATATGCTGCTGTAGTGTAAGAAGAGACATCTGGAAACGGTTTGCATGAAAACTCATAGTGTCTGTTTACATTATTTGATGCCAACAAGGCAGAAAGTGGAGCTAAAATACATTTGACATTTAATCGTAAAGGCAAAAATACTAACGAGAAAGAAAGTGGCCAATTTATCCTAGATTTAAGTCGAACAATCGGTTGTAACAGGATGTCAGCGTGCAGGACTTACCTGGCCTTTGATGGTGTAATCTGCGACGATATTCAGCAGCTTGTAGAAGACTTCAAACCACGGCAGGTAGCTGAGAGGACAGACACATGACAAAGTGAGTGAGGTTAATCAGGCTCATCAGGGAACTGTACGAATCGGTGTAATGCATGTGGTTAGTCTGGTTGTCTATTGGGCTACATTTAACTGGCTACCATTTCACTTCACTACGCCTCTTGTAGCACTTTGGGATTGGTTTTAGCAATGAAAGGTGCTTTACAAATAAAATGTATTATTATTATTACTTGTTATCAATGATCCTCGATGCAGAGGACAGGCAGCAGTCTAACAGTCATGGAAGTGTTTCTGCAGCCTGAACGCTCACATTTGAATTGCTTTATTACTTTTCTCATGCTCGCCATGATGTGACAATCCCCAATAAACAGTATGTCCTGCTGATCCAGTTTGTTCTGCACGTCCTTATTCTGGAAACAGACATGGTAATAATAACCCTCTCCTCATTTGAACACCTTGCTTTCAAACTGTCTGGTCATAAACCCCCAGTTAATGTTGTCATGTATCGTCCCACAAAACCAAACCCTGCGTGAGGAAACATGTCTGGATTCCTCTCACAACTCTGCGCCATCTCTCCATCTCAACTTCTACCTTCAACATAAACGTGGAATCAACTGAATTTATCCTTTCGCCTGTATCTACTTGTCTTTCATCCTTTCTTTATAACTAATGCTCTTGATGTATTGTGATTTTTAAAAAGGTGTCTATTATCATCTGGCCGGTACAACAGCTGGAAATTAGCAATGTTGGCTAAAGCTGCCCCATTTACAGTTTGTTGTGACAGTTGATCAATAGGGACTGTCCACGACACTAAACAATTAAACTAAACTCCATTCTAAACTTTTTTAATATCGCCCAATATGAAGACTTTAAGCATTTCCACATGTGCTTCTATAAAGATTCTGTCCTTTACAGATAGTGCTAGACTACCTACCGAAGAGCTCCTGAAGCCATGAGCATTAACTGAATAAACCCACAGACCCACAGACCCACTCAGAGTCACTCAGACTCACTCAGACCCATTCAGACCCACTCGGACTCACTCAGAGTCACTCAGACTCACTCAGACCCATTCAGACTCACTCAGACTCACTCAGACCCACTCAGACCCACTCAGACTCACCTGAGAATGCAGTAGCAGGTTTGGGCCCCTGAGGAGAGGCGACAGAAGCCAAATCTCTGTTTGCTCTCTATGTCCGTCAGCACAAATGTGAAGTTCTGTCCCACCTGGCTCACTGTCAGACTGCAGGGGGGAGGGAGAGACAGTTAGCCAGGGATACAATCCTCCATCATCATTCAAAACATCTTAAAACTCAATTTAAACATAACAGAAAAATTGAATGTGTTTAGTTGATCAAGTTGAAAAGTTTTATTTCCAACTTACGGGCCCATCTTTACTACACACAACAATTAAAGTGGTCTCTCTGTGTGTGTGGTGTGGTGTGGGTGTGGGTGTGGGTGTGGGTGTGGGTGTGTGTGGTGTGTGTGTGGTGTGTGTGTGTGTGTGTGTGGTGTGTGGGTGTGGTGTGTGTGTGGGTGTGGGGGTGGGGGGTATGGTGTGGGGTGTGGGTGGGTGTGTGTGTGTGGTATGGTGTGGGTGAGTGTGTGTGCGTGTGGTGTGGTATGTGTGAGTGTGGTGTGGTGTGGTGTGGTGAGTGGTGTGGTGTGGGTGTGGTGTGGTGTGGGTGAGTGTGTGTGTGTGGTATGGTGTGGGTGAGTGTGGTGTGTGTGTATGTGTGGGTGAGTGGTGTGGTATGTGTGAGTGTGGTGTGGTGTGGTGTGGGTGAGTGGTGTGGTGTGGTGTGGTGTGTGTGTGTGTGTGTGTGTGTGTGTGTGTGTGGTATGGTGTGGGTGAGTGGTGTGTGTGGTGTGGTGTGGTATGGTATGGTGTGTGTGTGTGCGTGTACGTGTGGTGTGGTATGTGGTGTGTGTGTGTGTGTGTGTGTGTGTGTGTGTGTGTGTGTGTACCTGTCCATGCTGAAGGGGAAGCAGAACCTGGGCACCGTCAGAAGAGTTTCCTGCGGGACACAGATAACAGATAGTTAGTTACGTGCATTATCTTTTATATTTACCAATAATGTTCAATATTATTAAAGTGAAAAGGGTTTGGGGGGGGGCTGATGGGAAGGATGTAATGTGGAGGAATTCATCTATGCTTGAGGGGAGAGAAAGAGTGAAGCAAAAATAATAATAATTTACTTGTACTTTAATTACAGTACACAACAATGGTGCCTGTTTTGGTGAGAGATAAGCCTGTGAACAACATGTAAGAACAAGACACAATAAACCCATGACTAGCTGTGAGGAGGGGGGATCCCAGAGAAAAGTAGGAGGGGGGATCCCAGAGAAAAGCAGGAGGGGGGATCCCAGAGAAAAGCAGGAGGGGGGATCCCAGAGAAAAGCAGGAGGGGGGATAGAGTTATAAAGTATGTCTTCAAACCTGGTCTGTGTAGTCTTCAGGGTATTGTCTCCGCACCTCCGGCACTGAGACAAATACAAAGACATGTAATTATAGTGGAGAAGGGAAAACACATCATGCTGAACGTGCTTTTGACTGATGAGTGAGTCCATATGTAGCAGGCAGTTGAAGAAGTAAATCCTCCTCTCCTTTGTAAGAAGCTGAACTATGTTATACTGTGTTATGTGAAGGTAAGGTACGTTTATTTATATCGCACATTTTCAGACACAGAGGCAATTCAAAGTGCTTTACATCATCATTAACACTTAATAGAGTGCCACAGTGACGCGTCCTAAAACCCGGAAGTAAGCTAGCATTTTACCACGTCCGGTTCCTTCGACAAAAATGCAATGGGATCTCTCCATAGGATTTTGGAAAATAGCTGAAATAAGGTCTGTGGTTGAGACACATTGAAGAGACGGATCACGTTTTGTTCTACGACATTAAATCCATCAGCAGTGACCCCACTGGTGATTTCTGAAGAATCTACGTGTCTGAAAAACGATGGTTGTTACCAAGTGGCTGAATAGGACTACAGAAGTCGTGGAGGACGTTGTACGTCATTACGCCGAACACGTAAACACTCCTCTAAGTTTGTTTGCCCTGTTCTGCTTGAAAGCAAGTACCTGCCTCCTGCAAACTGTTCAAACAAACGCTTCAATCTGGCGATTAGATTTACGATTAGAAAATTATAAAAGTAGGGTAGACATGTGGAGATTATCCGGCTGAACAACCACAGACCTTATTTCCAGCTATTTCCCAAAATCCTATGGAGAAATTGCATTGCTTTTTTGGGACCGGAAGGAGCTTACTTCCGGGTTTTAGGACGCGTCACTGTGGCACTCTTGGTAGACACACTAAACACAAATAACAATAAATAAACATAATGGAATAACAGATTCATAAAAACCATGCATAAAAGAGACACAGAATAGTTTAAAAACAACATTGTAAATACGGTAGGTGCTAAAATAAGCTAAAAGTCAGAAGGTGAAGCTATGATGTACGAGCATGGGCGTAGTTTCCACTGGGGACAGGGGGGACATGTCCCCCCCACTTTTCAAAATCCCGTTTGTGTTTAAAAGGGGAGTGATTAGTAAAATATGCATACATAAAAAGAAAGAATGCTAACTAGGTAAGTTTAAGATAGGAGAGAGGAGTATATCAATTATGTGTTATTGGTTGTGAGCATATTCTAATGGTTTTTGGAATATTGAAATGTATACAGTTCTGTTTTATATGAGTGTTGAGAACTGTATCCATAAATCTCTTAATTTTGCTCTCAAAGTGCACCAGATTGATGCTTTTAACTTCAATTTAAAGACAAAAATCTTCTCATTATATACACTACACATTTTTCTTGGATTTTTTAACACCATAGTCCCTAATATATTCGTAGAAAGGCAGGAAATTGAATTAAATTGAAAAAAATGTTTCATTGCGGAGGACCCCCTGTTTTGTGTCCCCCCCACTTCTCAAACCAAAGTTACACCCTTGTGTACGAGGATATTTAATGTTTTCAGTAAATGTGGGAAGCTGTGATGTGAAGAATAAAAAGGTCTTCACATAGGGGTCCCTAGGGGTTTTGAAATCAAAACTAAAAACACACTTCTTCTCTCTGGCTTTCTAGTTAGAGCGGAGCACGACTCCTGACTTTTCCGTGTGTTTTAATTTAATTTTGTTTTTAAGATATATCTGTTGTAATTTATTGTCGTTTATTGTGATTTGTAGTAATGTGTTTTTATTACATGTACAGCACTTTGGCTCGACCAAAAATCGCTTTTAAATGTGCTATATAAATAAAACCTGATTTGATTTGATTTCACGGCATAGTAAGTCAGACAGAAGAAGATATGTGTGTCACAGAGAATCTGTAAACCCGAACAGGAAATTTAAAAATAAAATTCTCAGAAATACAACCGACAAGCTGTCCTCAGTACGCAGGAAATGAGTCACACATTGCAGATCTAAAAAAGAGAGATTAATCAACATTTCACGATTAACTTGTGACACCCTGTACCTGTTTGCACATCTGGGAGTTAAAGGCAAGATGTTTTCCTCCCTAAACTGCTAAGAAATACTACAAGGTAAGCATATCCAATATCCCACATATTCTGTATTCTTATAATAAAACATGTTATTTATAAAGCGCTTTTCCTTGTGCTCAACGCGCTTTACAAGCAAGTTAAGAAAGATAACAACAGAAGTAAAAAAAAAGTGCTAAACCAGGTGGAATAGGGGTGAGGGGGTGAGAGGATTAGGAGCTGAAGGCAAGAGTGAAAAGGGGAGTTTTGAGGGATTTTTTCAATGACTTGAGCGTCTGGTGGAGGTGAGCATGCGGGGTTTTTTGAGGATGTTTGCAGGTTAACCTTAATCAAGACTACTACTACTTCAACAACTACTATGACTTCTACTACTACTACTTCTACTACTACTACTACTACTTCTTCAACAACTACTACTACTTCTACTACTACTACTACTACTACTACTTCTACTTCTACTACTACTACTACTACTTCTACTACTACTACTACTACTTCAACAACTACTATGACTTCTCTACTACTACTACTACTACTACTACCACCTCTACTACTACTACTACAACAACTACTATGACTGCTACTACTACTACTACCACTACTACTACTACTACTACAACAACTACTATGACTGCTACTACTACTACTACCACTACTACTACTACTACTTCAACAACTACTATGACTTCTACTACTACTACTACTTCTACTACTACTACTACTTCTACTTCAACAACTACTACTACTTCTACTTCTACTACTACTGCTACTACTACTACAACAACTACGACTTCTACTACTACTACGTACATTTGATATCTAACTCCTTCAGCCTACTTTCAGCTAAAGAAACGATTGAACTATTCAGCTATTTCATGACATTGAGGCTATACATTTTGTAGTTTACACCTCTTTTAAATATTAAGCTTCATCACTATGTTTCCGACTCATCTCAATCTTTCACTTTCCCAACAAAGTCAGTGCAGTTTGAGCTTTAACAATTTCGATTGAAATCATTTCACTGTTCTGCATTTTTCCGCAAAGTTCAGCAACACACTTTGTTTCTGTAGCTAAAAGCAGCTACCATTCAGCTATTAACATATTCAGCTTTTTCTATATTTTCAGCTAAATTCAGCTATGTGCGCAGCCTACAGCAATCGTACAATTTTTTTAGCAGGAAATACATTTTCTAGTTACTACTCTATTTTTACAACCTTTGATCCATTCTCTTCTTGCTCTTGGTCTCAGGGTGTTTAATATCACTGACACTGGACAGCAGAAAGCTAAAAAAACTACTTTTCTGCCTTTCTATCTATGTGTAAATAAATGCATTTCCTTGCGTTTGAAACTCTGTATTCTATACAAAATGACAAACACAAAAGGAATCTGTGTGGAAACGTCGCCTAAGTTTTAAACGGACCATGCCCTTACACATATCAGTGTTAAAGAGAAGATGGTGTGGTGTTCAGGTACTCACCAGAGCTGTGTGTGCCTGGATGGGCCACCTCCAGAAACACCTCAAAGGTCGACTCAGGATTCTCCCTGGAGCAGAGGATCAAACATTATCAGTACACACGTTGCCTGGTATGAACAAAATTCAGGAAAAGTGAGCATGCTTATCATGTAATGTAGCCTTCAACTTAATTTACAGTATGTCTCAGGATCGGCCCCTAACCTCAGGACTGTTCTCTAGTCTCAGGATCGTTCCCTAGTCTCAGGATCGGTCCCTAGTCTCAGGATCGGTCCCTAGTCTCAGGATCGTTCCCTAGTCTCAGGATCGTTCCCTAGTCTCAGGATCGGTCCCTAGTCTCAGGATCGTTCCCTAGTCTCAGGATCGGTCCCTAGTCTCAGGATCGTTCCCTAGTCTCAGGATCGTTCCCTAGTCTCAGGATCGGTCCCTAGTCTCAGGATCGGTCCCTAGTCTCAGGATCGGCCCCTAGTCTCAGGACCGGTGCCTAGTCTCAAGACCGGCCCCTAATCTCAGGACTGCCATCTGGGGTGAAAATGGCCCCTTGTCTCAGGACCAGCACCTAGCCTTAGGACTGCATCAGGACAGGCCCCTAGTCTTATGGACTGCATTAGGACAGGTCCCTAGTCTTAGGACTGCATCAGGACTGGCCCCTTGTCTCAGGACCAGCGCCTAGCCTTATGGACTGCATCAGGACTGGCCCCTAGTCTTATGGACTGCATCAGGACCGGCCCCTAGTCTCAGGACTGGCCCCTAGTCTTATGGACTGCATCAGTACTGGCCCCTACTCTCAGGACTGGCCCCTAGTCTTATGGACTGCATCAGGACTGGCCCCTACTCTCAGGAGTGGCCCCTCGTCTCCTGAAGAGGAAGGGCAGCAGAGAAACCCACGTGACACAGATAACGGAAACTGACTCACGCGCGTTCTCCTCTCTAAACCGTTATATTGTGACATCACATTTTTGAAAATCGTTTTCTTACAGTAATAAAACATCATGAACCCATTCCTCATACACACAGAAAATAAACCGACTAGCACGTTGTTTACAAAAGATTAACGGCAGACTGGTCGGTGCCCTGTAATGTTGACATGAGAGATCTTGAGCTGGAGATAAGCAGCATTTCATCTTTAAACTTTACCGCTACTCCTGAAACTAGTATGCGGTGTCGTCTCAGAGGTCACACAAAACACCATTTCCCCTCAGAAACACAATAAACAAAAACAACACGCTAAGAACAAATAGGACAGATTGTTTCCTTTCTCCCCTCTCTTTCGTGTAGAGTCATAAAACCCCTTCCTAAGATAAGCATCCGTTATCACACACATTAACACTTCCAGGATACCACCGGGAAAAGATTACAACAGCAGCATTTGATTACACTTTATTACAGCTTTAATACCATGAAATTGCTATAACACCGGTTAGGAAGACCTAGCTGTATGTTCTACACATAGGTTCTACCCTTTATATATATATATGTATGTACAGTCTAGTTCTCAGTGCTACACATGTATGTCCACAGAGCCTCTCACTGCCCCTCATCATCCTCTGAATTATAGCAGACCTGCCATTGTTTTTTTGCTCCAGTAATTGGAGTGTAGCACCAGTGTTTTTAGCCTGCTGTGTCGCAACAAGTCAGGGCCTCGCACTGTCCTGTATCTTCCCCAATGACTCTCTGGAAGCAAGCTAACAGCTAGCATGAGGCTAACAGTCTCATTAAAGCAGAAACACTCTTACTTGATTCTGGACCCCATCCTAATTCCTGCGCCGCGTGTGTCCGGAGGTGTTCTTCAGATGCTAACCTGTCACACAAACACAGAGCTGTGCAACGCCATGGTCCGCGTAGATCACGCTCTGTCTCGCAGTGCACTCTGGGACGTGTAGTTTCTTTGCGGATTCTTGTGATTCTATGATATGGAGCTCGATGGTGCTAAAAACTACAGCTTCCACAATACCTTAGACAACTGTTTGGTCCCGTGATAAGATATATGTCATATGTTCGTATATATAAATATATACAGTGGTGGAAGAAGTACTTAGATATATACATATACATATATATATATATATATATATATATATATATATATATATATATATATATATATATATATATATATATATATATATATATATATACAGTATACAGTGGTGGAAGAAGTACTTCAAAGTTGTTACTTAAGTAATAGTAGCAATACTGTTAAAATTAATCTGTTACAGTAAAAGTCCTGCATTCAAAATGTTACTCAAGTAAAAGTAGAAAAGTATTATCATCAAAATATAGTTAAAGTAGCGACAGTAAAAGTAGTCATTGTGCAGATTGGTCCATTTCAGAATAATATATATGATATGTTTTATAATGATTGATCATTAAAGTGTTATCAAAGCTGGTAAAGGTGCAGCTAGTTTGAATGACTTTGTATACTGCAGGGTAGCTTGTGAATTTACTCCAGGTGGAACTAAAGTCTGATTTAACACTTGATTATATTTCACATCATTCATCCAGATCTGTGAAGTAACTAAAGGTATTAAATACATGTAGTGGAGTCAAAGTACACCATTTACCTCTGAACTGTAGTGGAGTAGAAGTACGCAGTAGTATAAATGGAAATACTCAAGTAAAGTACTCAAAATTGTAATTCCAGTTCTTGAGTAAATGTACTTAGTTACTTCCCACCTCTGCATAGCTACAGTAAATAGGAGCCTACATTGAGGACAAATGGCACAAAGTCACACTCAATTTCCTGGAGGGTTTTTTCGGAGTGTCACTTGCGTAATAACAGCGGTATCACATATCATCAAACTATGACACCATCCCACACGAGAGGCGGAGATGGAGCTGTGTGACGTTTGACCTACTTTTCAACAAACACTCACAACCTCATCACCACCAGCTTTCTGTCAGTTATCCCTCCTCTCAGCGGGCACTAACCCCAGACACACAGACAGTGGAGAGGTCTGTCTGTGAATCTGTCTGTGAATCTGCCTGTCTGTGATTATGTCTGTGATTATGTCTCTGCACAACAACACGGACCAATAAAGTGACTTTTAGAAACTTTTTTCAACTCAGCATGCCTCCTATTCAGGTAAGACTTACTGTTATTTATTACACTGTGCTCAGCCTGCACACTTTATGCTAAGCTAACTCTGTTAACAGTCTTGGAACAGTTTACTCTTCAGAAAGCTATAAGCACATGTACTGTAGCTAGCATGTTAGCCTACAGCTCTGAGAATATATAGAAATGATATGTACCCGCTTCCCTAGACATTACTCCTGCTTACTTTACAACAAAATAGCCTAATAGTGAGACTGTAAGTATAGCTTCACTTGGCTGTCCTTGTAACGTTAGCTGGTGTTTCGAGCTATTGAGATATTTATTTCCTCTGTACTCTTTCTTCAATAACAGGAAACCATTGCTAACTTTTGCAGGTTATTTGTCTAATAATGGCATTGAACATATGTCGTTTTCCATTAAACTAAACTGTAACTTATGGCAATGCAACTTGGACCCTTTTATTTAGTAGAGTTAGTGATAAGGCAGTGAATATGGCTTCTAAAAAGTGATGAAATGCAATGTAAAACAACATTTCCAGTGCAAGGCAGATAGTGCTGGCTTATTGAGTAACACTTGGTTATATCATTTTTGATTTCGCAAGATGTTTATCATGCATGTTTTCTAGTGGTTTTAAATAAATAAAGAGTCTACTGTATATGAAAAAGCCACATTGAAAACCATTTTCCTATTTAATTAAGAACTGTAATGCAAAATAGTAAGTTGAGGGAATGGTTGAATAAAATTCCTAAATTAAATAAAGATTTCCAAACAAACTCTGACTATTTTAACTAATACAGAGTAATCAGATTACGACATATCATGATATCTGGATAGCAAATTATCACAATATGACTCCAGGGAAGGACTATAAATGATCTTATTTGATGTGCAGGTTTAAATAAATGAACAATGCATGAAATAGTATCAGCAGAGGTAAACACTGGCTGAAGGGTGGGGGTGGGCGGTGTTTAAATGCCTGGGCATCCAAGGTCAAATAACTGGCTAAAATTACTCACGTGTCAGCTGAGACTGGAGGGCTGTGTGCATCCACCAAGCAGGAAGCTGTGTCTTTACACATCCTCACTGAATAACAAATTCTGCCCCATTGTTATTCTTTACAGCTACATTCTCGGCCATTTTGTGGCTGTAAAATGTGGGATAAATGTTTTTTAGCATGATACGTCTGACTGGTTTCACTATCCATTTGATCGATGTACATTTGATATGTCTGTAGAGGTCTACTACCATGTTCACAACCACATGGGATCATAAATAATGCACAAAGATGTCTTTTTGGAACTTATTTGATTGTGTATCTGTAACAATGCTCCACTGATCGAACTCCGTAAAGCAGCAAAACAGAGATGTTTCATTGATAAAACCATCCTTCCACCACACGTGATCATAAATAATGTGCACAGAAAAGTTAAATCGTTTTATTGTTGGATCAGTAGAAAAAACAACGCAGTTTTGATGACTTTTTATTGAACTCCATGCAGCACATATGGTAATATACAGAGATGTTTCGTTGATAAAGCCATCCTTCCACCCCAGCATCCACGTATTGGTTTCTTCATGATTCTGCATGTTGATCTCTCTCTCTCTGTCTCTCTCTCTCTCTCTCTCTCTCTCTCTCTCTCTCTCTCTCTCTCTCTCTCTCTCTCTCTCTCTTCCTCTGGCTGGTTTTAAAACTTTGATCGAGGAAGTGAAACACAAGCCCAGTGTTTTGGCTGGGACATTGTGTCAGGGCCAGGCTCAGTAATAGAACAGGGATTGAAAATGTGGGGCGGTCTCCATTAAGATGTTTCTTAGCTTTGAATGCCAACAACAGTCCTCATTAGCAGCAGTCTGACATACTGTATGCATGTAACACAGCTCTGCCCCTGTGGTGTAACCGAAGTCATGACACGACACATTGTTCACATTTTAATGGTTAGCAGAGCTGAGGTTAGCGCAAGTTAGTACATGTACACACATCTAAATACTTAAAGCTGACTCAACAGAGATTAGAGCGTTGGTAATGATTTATGATGACAGGGAGCTAGTTACAACATGACATCTCTTTAACGTTTAAGTTGCTATTTATGGCTAATAGAAGTTATAAATACTTCAGACTTGCAGTAGTTTTATTTTATTTCCATTTCAGAAATATTTTGGATTGTTTATTTCTTGTGTCTTAATTCTATCTATCCATCTCTCTCTCTCCATCTCTCTCTCTCTCTCTCTCTCTCTCTCTCTCTCTCTCTCTCTCTCTCTCTCTCTCTCTCTCTCTCTCTCTCTCTATTTACCTACCTACCTACCGACCGACCGACCGACCGACCTACCTACCGTCCTACCTACCTACCTACCTACCTACCTACCTTCCTACCTACCTACCTACCTACCTACCTACCTACCTACCTACCTACCTTCCTACCTACCTACCTTCCTACCTACCTACCAGCCTACCTACCTACCTACCTACCTACCTATCTATCTATCTAGAGCACAAACTAAACAAACAATAATAACAACATAATGTCACACAGCATGCCTTAAGTACAACAAATGATCAGTTAAAAAAAGGACAGTCTCCAAAAACGCACCCAGGCTTTTAACAGAATGCTTAATAATATTCATCGGAGCTAAATGGATTTTGGATTTGTTACAGGCAAAATATGTGAAAATATTACTCTGAATTAAGGATTGAGCTTCTGCAGAGAAGTCTTAGCCTACAAGACCTTATAAACATCTTTGCTTTGTTAAGACTCTCCTAAAAAATCACATCATGATCATTTTATATATATTTTTAATGGTACTGAGAATAATGATGGAAAACGATCAATCCCTCCTATATTGGTAATCATATTGACAGTATAATATCAGTCAAAAATAATTACAATTAGTCCTATTTTCATATAATGCAGCTCAAAGGGATCACATATGTTTATGAGGATGTTTGAATTGCAACACAACCATTTCCAAATATAACTCTTTAGTTTGTCTTTATTCGACAAATGACGCACTTAGTCACGTACAGATGACTCAGCTGGTCATGTGAAAAGCTAAGAGGAAATATTATTGTAGCTTCCTACCAACACACTCTTTCAGTGATCCACAAACTCTTCTTCACAGTAAATGTCATTTTTACGCTGTGTAATAAGTCCTGTGTAAATGAACGTATTATTTAAGATTGGAAACTTGCTTCTGTCTCATTGCAGGAGTAGGTGGGTGTGATGCTACCATGGAGACACAGAACAATAACCAGCAAACGTTAGACAACCACAACAACTTCTACAAAAGACCCAATCAGGAGGACCAGGTAGGAATTAAACCAGAATATTATCAGACAGGATCACCCACTCACGTGAAAGACATCCACACACACTAACACACACCGCTGGCCATGCCACTGGGAGCCATTGAGGGTTTAGTACAGGGGTGTCCAAACTTTTTTCACAGAGGGCCTACATACAGAAAAATATACGAAGGGCTGGGCCACTCACTAGAGGTATACTGCCTCATAAGTTCAGTTATACGTTGGCAAAATCAATCAGATGTAGGTACATGATACTTGTGAGTGTTTGCAGCTCAGCCCTTAAAACAGAAGCCTCAGATTGATTATAATAATGAGAAATAGGAAGGGTTTATTTCAAGCTTGTTATGGAAATAAGTCATTGGGCTTTTTTCTTATCAACTAAGATATGTTAGAAAATGTTTCCAACTTTAATTGACTGGATTTATTTGAAAAGTGGTCTCATTAACACATGAATACTACTGTGTAATATATGTTTACATTTATATTTAAGAAGTACAATACAAGACA